TTGCTGAAAGATCAAAATGTTAAATGGTTATATTAGGCACGAAAATTTGTTGGCAAAGAGATATCATTTTTACTAACGGATAATTCATTTCTAATTACCAACGGAATATCCATAGGTAAAAGATCAAAATGTTAAAGGTTATATTAGGCACAGAATATCCATTGGTAAAGAGATATCATCTTTACCAACGAAAAATATGTTGCTGATTATTGTAGCTAAAAGTGAATTACTTTTACCAACGGATTACAGCTGTTGGTAATATTTGGTACATTACCTAAGGAATATCCGTTGGAGGAAGATCCAAATATTAAACGATTACATTAGGCACAGAATATTGGTTGATAAAGAGATATCATCTCTACCAACAGAAAATCCATTGCTAATTATCATAGCTAAAAGTGAATTATTTTTATCAACGGATAATCCGTTTCTAATAAGCTGTTTTTTAGTAGTGATATACGATGGAAATCTGTTTTAAAAAAGGGGAATGAGATTTGGTTAGAGGGAGAACGAAAAGGGAATTGACGAGGGACATTGAAGGAAGCACGGGCTAAGGATTTCTCCAACTTCTAGAGTTCTTTTTCTTTCTCTCAATTTCTTTAATTGCAGAATGTTGAATTGGAATATTTGGATAATTTTATTAGTCATGATTTTCTAAGTTCCACGTTCTAGGGTTAAGATGTAGTCATTGAATTTATTTATTTTTTATATGATTTGATCATGGTTGTATTGACTATTTTTTTGTGGGTTTATTCCGACCGAATCCTTTAGAGTTATGGGGAAATTTTGGATGGTAATTGAAGAGGACATTGTGGACTTTCCAATGGTATCAAAATTCAATAGTTTTGATGGTCGAAAGTTGCCGAAAATTTGCCTTTAAAGTCGCCAAAAAAATCTGAAAATCTGGGCAGATTTTCAGAATTTTTGGGCGACTTTTAAGGCAATTTTTCGATCGAATCCCTTAGAGTTATAATGAGATTTTTGGTGGTAATTGAAGAGGACATCGTGGGCTTTCCAACGGTATCAAAATTTGACATTCTTTGTGGTCGGAAGTTGTCGAAAATTTGCCGTAAAAGTCGTCCAATTATTTGAAGAGACGAGTGATGAATGAGTAATTATATGAAAAGATGAGTGAGCATTCAGTAATATGTGAAAGATGAGTGAGCAAGTAGTAATCAAGTATAAAGTTCAGTGATTATTGGTTAAATTTACTCAATATTCTTGTTAATTGCAATTTGATGATTTTGGTGTTCATTCTTGCAATTTACTGACCATGAATTGCATATTTAAGATGTTGAATCAAGTAGCGAAAGTTGAAGTTCAACATTGGTTCGTGAAATTATCAAACATCGGCAATGTAGTTTAGAAATAAATACATACCTTTGTGACCCACCTTGAATTCCACAGAGAATAATGAATTTACATTGATTTTTATGATCACGACAGTAGACATAGGATTAATATAAATATATATTTTATACCTTGAAAGAGGATATCACATTCAAAAGGGAAT